CAGAGGGGGGCGCAGAGGCGGAAGGATGGTGACAACACCCAGCAGATGGAGCCCTGGGGTGGGGTCCTGGGTGCTTGCCTGTGTCTGCCCTGGTTTCCCTGGAAGTCTGTCCACTCCTGTTTCTTCTTCCCCAGCTCATGGCCATCTCCTTAAGGGAAGGGCTTGATATGGAGTCCCTGGGCTGGCTGCCACCAAGCCTGCCTCTGGGGGTCGGGACAGGCCTGTGCCTTGCCCTGAGCAGGAGGCTCCTCCGGGGATTTGGAGTCACTATGAGCCCCAGCTCTGCCTCGTAGGAGCCGACCTGACCTCTCTGAGCCTCTTTCCCCCTCCTGGGAGTGGAGGTTATGAGGGCACTAACCATGAAGTTCTGAGAATCAGGTGACAGGAATTCCAAACCCAGACTGTCCCCCCTCCATTCCTTCTGTCCCTGAGTCCCTGGCATGGCCCATCCTGCCTCAGGGTTAGGGACGCATCAAGCTTCCTGTCTCATAGCTGTTATTGATTTCCTGTCACCCTGTAGGACAGGCAGACCTTTTCTTGGACCTCTGTTTTCTGTTCTAGAAACCCAGGAGGTCAGACTAGACAGTCCCTGGAACTTCCTTACTGCTCTGGCTGTCTGATGAGGCAGGGAAGGATCTGGACACAGCAAGGGCTGACGCCATAGCCAAGTGACTAAGCAGCCTCACGTGGGGCCGGTGGCTGCCGTGTCTCTGAGAACGCAGTGTAGGCCAGACCCTATCCTATGAGACTTAACCCTTCTCACTCATAGCTCCTTTCACTCAACCCTAGAAGGTATTAGCCCCATTTCACAGATGAGGGACTGGGACCCAGAGAGGCTAGGCTCCATGCCCAAGGTCACACAGCTTGTATGGCAGAGTCCAACTCCTGACCCAGCTCTGATCCCAGACCTGGAAGGAGCTTGGAAGGAGGGAGAGGCAGAGCTTAGGCTGCCTCCTGGTCCTCCTTGTCTTGGATTTGATTTCCTAAGTTAACTGATCCCTCTGGCTCTGCAGCCTGCTAGGGGAGGGCTGCTGGCCTCGGTCTCTGTCTCTGTCTCTGTCTCTCTCTCTCTCTCTCTCTCTCTTTCTCTCTCTCTCTCTCCTATTCCTGTCAAAGAGGCAGTTTGTTGCGGCCCAGCTTCTTCCCTGGGCACATTTGTTCCACAAATGCTTGCCGAGGTCACTCTGCCTGGTCCTGTCCTTGGCACTGAGCAGGGTCATAGAGGAGACTGACCTTGCAGTGGGTATGCAGGGTGCACCCTCGTGGTGCAGGTCCAAGACTCTGTGCACGCAAAGAGTCTGGGACAGTGCGGATCCTCCGGCAGGTATCATTTGATCTAGGTGTTGAGAGATGAGAGTGAGTCTTCTGGGTAGGGAAGATTGTGGGGACAGAGGGAATAGCAGGCGCGAAGGCCTGGGGGAGAATACTGCAAGATACAGAGCAACACTGTCCATAGAACTTTCTAGACTAATGAGAGTGCTCTGTCTGCACTGTCTGATAGAGCCGTCACATGTGACTGGTAAGCCCTTGAAATGTAAACGCAGGATCACCCAGGACATCTAGAGAACTCACTTTCCATTAAGATGCATGTTAGTTAACTTTCTTTCACACAGCCACATGTGGCTGGTGGCTGCTATTGGCCAGTGCAGATCTGGGCCAAAAGACAAACCTGGAAAGCATCTGGGCCCAGTAGGGATGGTCTTGGATGCCAAGCTCAGACTTTGTGTCCTTCTCAGACAACATGGAAGTCCCTGGAAGGGCTTGGGGGTGAGGCCAGGGAGGAGAAATGTACACATGGGTCCTTAGAAAGGTCACTGCAACTGCTCTGTGGGACATTTAGAGAGTTCAGGCAGGGGCAGGAGAGGGCTGAAACCTCAGCCCTGATGAGAATGGCACCAGGGGCAATTGGTATGGGGAGAAATGCCAATGCAAGCATGAGTGCTGAGTGGTCATTATGAACACCGTCAAGGGTGACTCCCAGATTTCTGGCTGGGAGGGTGAGGGGAGCAGGGATACCTGATGCTAAATTGGGGCATCTGGAGGGAGAAGCAGGTTCGTGGTCCATGTTTGCTGTGACGCTGATGTCTGTGTCCCCACCTTCCTGGCTGGTATACACACACACACACACACACACACACACACACACACACACACACACACCACCGGTTGGGTCTTGCCCCTCATCCTTCTCCCTGTCACTGACACCCCTTAGAACCCAGGGGCCTCAGGCCATGTTTGTGAAATGGGTGAGTGAGAGTTCCCTAGTTCCCGGGGTCCAGGAGGAGGGGCAGGACTGCGCCCCTCTTCCTGGCCCTGGAAGCAAAGAGGAATTTCTCGAAGTCCCCAAGGAACCCTGAGCAATGTGAAGAACGCGGCCACCCGAGCAGTTAGCTCCGAGAATCTGGAAAGTTGCCCGGGTCGGCTGGGTCTCTTGTGGGCCCATTAGGACCTCCAAGGGGGAGGATTGGAGCACTCACATACCTGCATCTCAGGCCCGTGTCTGAGCTGGACAGGCCACAGGACCTCTGCCCCATGAGTTGAACGCCACTCCCCCATGAATCTGTGAGGACCGATGCTCAGGGCTTTGTCAGCGAGACCTGGCAGGCAGGGCAGTGCTGCAGTTACATGAGGGGCGTGTTTGTCTTCTGGGTGAAACAAATCCCTCTGAGGGGACCCAGGCCATAGGCTGGAGGTGCCAGCTTGCCTGGTGCCTGCGAGCTGATTGTGCAGATCTCTCCCCAGCCCTGCCCAGTGATTCCTGCTGAGAGGTTGAAATGGTCTTTGGCAGGAGCACTTACACTGCAGAGAAGGGCAAACACTCTGAAGTCCTGAGGGCCTCACATCTCAACTCCATCCCTGGAGGGTCTGACTGCCCCCACTGACATCAAGGACCCAGGCTCCTTCCTGCTGGTTTCAGCTTGTGACTGACTTCCCCTCTCCATGGGGGCCCCCGTGGCCGGAGCCGGCTGCCAGAGCTCCTCTCGTCAGCACGTCTGTACAAGCGCTCCAGTCTCAGAAAACAGCTGTTCCTACTTTTCTCCCTGACTCGCATTTCACGCCAGCTTCTCCTCGTCCTCCAGCTGTCATCTCACTTGTTCCCTCCTGAGAGAAGCCTCCCTCACCCCCTTCCTACACTCGCCCCACCCTGCAGCCTGCTGTATTTCCTCCAGAGCACAGAGCATCCTTGGTCATTATTTCTCCTGTTCAGTACCTGTCTCGCCATAGACTGGGAGATTCCCCGAGGTAGGAGCAGCATTGGTGGGGTCCTCTGTGGTAGACCCAAGTCAGAGCAGCACCTGCCACATCGTAGTGGCCCAGTAAATACTGTCAGATAATGACTAAGGCAGAGCAAGCGAAGAGGATTGTTTTCCACAATCTTCCTGGGTTGTTGCTACCGCGTGTTGCTATCCAGTGTGTCAGATTGGTGGGACTCAGTGTTTTCTACGGGTCCCCCATGACAACTGGGTGCATGGGTAAGAGATGAATGGGAATGGTAAGTTTGCCTGCTGGCATCACTCACAGCCAGGGCTAGCTCAGGACCCCAGGCCCTGCTCAGAGGCCAATTCCTTGGAAATTCGTTCCCAAAGTAAGCATACTGGAGCTCCATCTCTATGCTAGGTCATTAGTGGTTGTGGGGGATTTCGAGAAGGAAAAAATGGGCCTTTCCTGGAGAACTTGAAGCTGGACAGGCAGGAGAATCTTCTGTAATGCCGTGGGCTGGTTTTGTAAGTTCAGATCTCTGGACCCAGTACTGGAAAGGGGGGGGCTCCCCATACATTCATTTGACAGCTAACAATTGAGGCAGGCCTCAATGTGCTGGTGTTATTCAGCATAGAAGGCAGACCCGTGAACGTGCTCATGGAGGAGTGCTCAGTAAACATGACTAAAGAAAGAAATGGCCAAGGAATGGGCAAGAGTGGCAGTGGGAGGGATGGGATGACCGTGCTGCAGGGCTGTGATGGCCGGAGGGAGGCTGTGACACAGGGGTGGTCCAGTCAAAGGCTTCTGAGGTAGCATATGTGAGTAACCCACACGTGATCCAAAGGCACCCTTGGGAGAACAGCTGAGAGGGGAGCATCTGAGAGGAAGCAGCAAGTGCCCTGCAATAGCCAGAAACACACCCAGAGTGACCCGGGGCCAGAATGAAGGTCACCTGGGCTGGATGGGGAGACACCTGCTTCAGGCACCAGATTGAAACAGGTGATGTCCCCAAACTCAGGAATCAAGATGAGCAATATTAAATGCATTTTCTAAAAGTCAAAAGTAATACAAAAAATTACAGAGAGAGATAGATATAGATATAATGAACAAAATATCATATTTTTGTTTGGATCAAACCCCCACACTTGCAGGGCAAATGCTCTAGCATCGAGCACCATCCCCAGCATCGCATTCTTAAAGACCAGAGCAAGCCGCGTTGGAACCTGAGGGGAAGGGAAATCAGGCAGACTGATCTTGGCCCTGTGCTCGGCGGTGCTGTATTGTGGGTCATGTGTTTGCTGCCTGTCGTGAGTGGCATGGCGGCAGTGTCATCTGTCCAGACCCAGGCCACAATCTAAGGGCCTGAGTTCCAGTTCCAACTCTGCCCTCGTGCTTCCTGGTGTGCTTTGGGGCCAGTTTCTTCCCTCAGTATCAGTCTCTTCCTTAGAAACAGTCCGGCCCCTGGGTTCCAGGGAGGGCCAAATGACAGACAGAAGCCAAGGGCTGAGTGTAGCCCCTTAGCCTTCTGGAAGTCTGGGGAGAATGATCCCGGCTCGTCCCCGAGGGACAGCTTAGCTTGCTTAGAGCACTGAGGCAGGAGCCTGCCCAGGACTCACCTCGGATGGCCAGGCAGAAAGCTGCTGCAAAACACCCGATGAAAGATGGAACGTAACAGTAACAGGACTCGGAGGGGTTGAATTGGGACAGGAGGTGGATGCTGGGAGGTGGAGACACCCGGTGGGGCTTAACTCCCAGCCAGGCCTGAACGCCGGGCTCCATCCCAGCCTTGTGTATTCCAGAGGGAGCTGAAGGAGCAGCTTCAGGCCCTTCAGGCTAGCGAGCGTGAGCACACGGAGGCGCTGCAGCTGCTCAAGCGACAACTGGCAGAGACCAAGGTGAGCCTGATGACCTGGGGGCGGGGACCCGTTCGGAGAGGGCTGGAGGCGGGGCGGGGCCTAGTGGAAGGGGGCGGGGCTCCGCTGTAGGTAAGTGGGTGGGGCGCCACCCTAGAGGGACTCCAGGGAAGGATTGGATGTGGGAGGAGGTGGGAGCAAGTCCCCTCCAGAAACCCACCCCCCCAGCCTGGCAGGACTGGGAGAACTTCAGTAATCCTTTTCCTCCCCTAAACCCCAACTCTGCGGGGCATCCAGTCCAGTGTTCCTTGAGACCCTAGAATCGTCTCCCTCCTTAAGCTCAGGCCCGGGCAGGGCTCTAGACCCAGAGAACCAGGCCAAACCTGCAGTCTCTGGTACAGAGGCTTGAAAAGTCTTTCTTCTAGACCTGAGAGGCAGCTCTTGGGTTCTGACTGAGCCACTGGTGTGACTCGGGGTGAACTGCGTCATCCTCCTGTGTGTGGTGTGGACGGCCCAGCTCCTTCCAGACCTGACTTGTGGGTCCTCACACCCTGCCCAGAAGCTTCTCTGGATTTCCCCCGAGCGGCATCTCACTAACTGACAGGGCTTGCTTCCACCCCTGGCCTGTCTCAGGCCCAGCTGCTGAGCCCTGGGCTGCTTTGCCTCTGGCTCCCCTGGTGAGCAGAGGCCTGTGCCCCACAGCGGGGATGCTTCGTGCCTCCAAGGTCTCCCGGCGCCTGGGAGCGGCCGTTGGAGAACCAGATCTGAACCCCAGCGTGGCCATCCGCAGCTGTGGGGGTCACAGGGAGGTCGTGGCAAACATTTTCAGGGAACATTTCAGAGTGCCTATAAGGCAGGACCCCCAACAGACAGCCGTTGGGAAGTAGCCCCAGGACCCGGGACTGTTGACTTCTCACAGCCTCAGTTTCCCCAGCTGCCCGCTGATTCTGCTCCTCTCTGGTGAAGAAAAGGCGACTGAAGCCGGTAGCTTGATGATGGGGATGTATGAGGGTCTCTTTCTTCTCCCCATGTTCTTTTCTCCTCACTGTACCGCCCCCCACCCCCGTTCTTATTTTTCTCCACTGACCTCTTCTTCCCCTTGCTTTCCTGTCCATCTGTCTACCTCTGGGGGGTCCTGCAGGGCCACCTCCCCTGCAGCTCCCCCAACCCCACATCCTGTCTGGACCAGGGTGTTTATATAAGAAATGCTTCGGGAGGTCATATTTCACCTGGTGCTGGCCAGGCCTTCCTGCGGCGCCTGCCCCTCTCCCGGTGGCCCTGCAGGCGGGACAGCTAGTCTGATCTCCGCCTCCAGGCCCAGAGCTTTCCTTGGCTGGCCCCGGCCCAGTGACACGTTCTTGGCAGGGTGTTTTCCTGAGCCCGCCAGGCACCCGCCAGCTCTGGGGTGTCCCCAGGGAGGTGATGGGCCTCCGTGACAGCTGCTTTCCTGGCCCTGGTGCTGGGGGGATCGGGGTCGTTGTGGACTGACTCTGCCCTAGAGAGAACTAGAGAACGCAGGGCACAGTCGTTGAGTCCAACTCAGTGGTGGGGATTGATTCCCACTCCAGGTCTTGCCTCACACCCCAGTCAGTGCTCTGCATAGTGCCTCCCTCACTTGTAGCACATATGTGACCAGTGGAGACACACACACACACACACACACACACACACACACACACACACGCCTGGAGGTGGGAGCTGTGTTTTGCAACTTGTTATCAGCAAGGAAGAGGAGGCACCAGGAGGTGGAGGGCTGAGCTGAGGCCCCACAGGGGAGGGAGCTCCCTGGGAAACTCTGGGCCCATCTGGCAGAGTCTCATGCCTCTTCCACTTGCAGCTGAGTGTTCTCTGGCTTGGCGGTCAGCAGGCCAGGTGGGCGGAGCAGAACCATCAGCACGGACCCATACCCGGAGTTCTGCCTCTGACTTGCCTTCCTCCCAGTGTCCTTCCCTTCCTCTTATCCTGGGGACCCCAGGAGAGATTTTAAATCTTCAGTCATCTCTGCAGTGCCTCTGGAGATGCCTTTCCTACCTGATGGGGAGGGGTCCCCTACTAGCTGCAAAGCATGTAAAAGGCCGGGGGGAACAGTTGTATTAAGAGTATTTTCCCAGTGCCCCGAGAACACTGAAGTACTTGACCATCTGATCAAGTTAGGGAAGTGTCCCAGAGAAGGTAGACCCAGACTTTAGTTTGGACCTGGCAGGGTCAATAGGAATTTACCAGTTGAATTAGGGTCTGCTTTATTTTTTTGGGGGGGGGGGTGTTTGTTTGTTTGTTTTTGAGGGGATCACCCTAGGCAGGTGGTATTCCAGTTTCAAGGGGTAATTATTAAGGGGTCAGACTGAGGACACTAGATGCTGGGCTAAGGAATTTAGCATTCATTAATCATCCAGGAGCCAGAAGATGTTCCTAAACGTAGCTCTGGCTGTGGTCCAGTTTGAATATTTAGAAGGATTGCTCAGGGGGCTAAGTTTGCAGCTAAGACATGAGTCTGACTTGCAGATTGAAGAACTAGAGCCGTGGGGGGGGCAGGAGTACATGGGAGTGGCAAGGTGGAGGTGGTGGCCAGGAGCCTTACTGAGCCTTCGGTAAGGACCAGGGAACCACCCTCCTCCAAAGCAGTGTGAGCCTGGGGCAGTGGGTGGACATGGAAGATCTGAGAAGGCAGCGCTGCCCTAGCCCAGCCTTGAGGAACTGGGCAGAGAGGGAACTGACAGAGAGCCAGGGGAACAGCCAGGGCTAGTGATGAGTGAAGGGGGCCAGGCACTGCCACAGAGTGGTAGAAGAGGAGCCGGGGGAGACCATGGGCTTTGGGGACCTGTGGAGGGCAGCCGCAATGATGCAGCAAGGGCAGACATTGATGCACAGCTGATGCAGTCTGACCCACCTGCAGCAGCACCGCAAGAGCCTGGCTCCTTGCTAAGTGAGGGGCTTGGGCGGGCCACCAGCGGGCGGCTGCTCATCCCAGGCTCCCCTCCACCCCCTTTGTCTGCCCAGTGCTCTGGGTGGGCATGCGCAGGGAGGTTGGCCTACTGCCAGCAGCTCTTCCGGCAGCCGTGGCGGGGAGGGAACGGGCCCTAATTGAGCCTTTGTTGAGCCTCCCACAGAGCCCTGGGCATTGAACACAGCAGGGTCCCTGACTCTCTGAACTCCCAGCCAAACCCCACAAAGTGAAATTGCAGAGGCAGGCCCCACACGCCGCTGCGGTCCTGCTGGCTGTGTCCGGCTGGCTCACACTGCGGCCTCTGCCTACTCTCCCGCTCCCCCGGCTGACATCCTTCCCGCCCTCCAGGGCTCAGCAGCTAGCTCCCCATGAAGACCTCGGGGATGTGCCTCTCGGACTAGGTCTTGGCATCTGCAGGCTGTCTCAGCTCCGTGAACAATACCTGCATTCTGTGCGCGCTCCCAGGGCTAATCCTCACTGCAACCCTGCCATGTGTCACCCTTGGCACAGAGCAGGAAATAGGTTGAGGAGCTGGGGGAGGGCTCAGGAGCAAAAGGTGCCGGCTCCTGAGTGAGAGTGAGGTCACGAGTCTGATCCCTGGGGTCATCCACATGTGCTGTATGAGTGACCTCCCACACACAGCAACCACACGCAGCACCAGAGCTAAAGTGCGTGGCCCCGGAAGAGGACCACAGCTAAAGATGTGCTCGAACCTGACCAGGAGGATGGCCCCCAAATAACTACAACCAGAGTGTGCACCAGCACCATGGTAAAAGGAGTTCGGCCCTGAGTGTACGTGGTCAAGCACCACCGCGGAGCTTGGCAGGCTCAGCCAGCACCTGTACAGTGTACGCCTGCCCCACAACCAGATGCACGACCCTGGTCGAGTGCCCGACCAAGGGCACAGCAGAGTGAAAGGGGTGGAAAGGGAAAGCAGAGACACCAGGGTCAGAGGCAACGGAGGTTGCCACAGCCAGAGATGAAACTCTCAATTCTCACCAGCATCAGGGCCCAGCACCTGCGTCCTTCCTCTCTCAGCCCCTTCAGCCCCTTCCCAAGCTCAGTAGTGCCATAAGGACAAGAAAAAAATAGCCTCAGTCCTTTATGGCCTTCGTTTTTTAAAATCTTTTTATTTTTGAATTTTTTAAATTGAATCACCGTGCGCTACAGTAACAAAGCTTTCATATTTGAGTTTCAGTCGTACAATGACCAAACACCCATCCCTCCACCAGTGAACAGTTTCCACCACCATTGTCCCCAGTATCCCTCCCCCGACTCATCCCACCCCTCCTCCTGCCTCTAAGGCAGACATTTTCGCTCTTACTCTCTCTCTACTTATGGGCATTATGGTTTGCAATCATGAGAGGTCACTTGATGACCTTCTGTGGAATGGCTTTGACCTCCATCTTGTCCAGGCCTCTCAGGGTGGCAGGACAGGGCACATGACCACAGTGCTCCAGCCCCACAGCTTAGAAAGCTGATCACCACCTGTGATCTCTTCATTTGTGCTGCCGTCCCACGATTGGTTTTTTTTTATTAATTTTCCCCTCCTCTTTTTCTTCATTGCCAACCACCCCTTCTCTCCCTCTTCCTTGCCTCTTCTTCCTTCCTCTCCCTTTTCCTTCTTCCCTGTTCTTTCTTCTTTTTCTTCCTTCTTTTTCTCGTCCTTCACACACTCGGTCACAGTGCCCACACACTCAGTGCTGTGCTTGCTGGGCTGCGTGCTCATTGCATAGATCACGCACATACTCCCCAGGGCCTCCCTCTCTTTCATTGTTGGGAGGGATCAGGGGACGGGGTGCTGCCACCCAGACTGGTGGTTTGGTACTAGAACCTGAGCATGCAGCTTCAGGCCCTGCATTGACAGGAGCCTCAAGGATCACAGCCGGCGATGCCCAGGGTCAGGGAGCCTGCAAGGCACACGCTCTAACCACTGTGCTCTCTCCTGGCGCTGGTAGCGGTTCTCTCATACACTCCTGGCAGAGCTCAGTAGGGTTCAGCCTTTGGCTGCTGGGCTCACGCCTGCCTGTTGCGTACCAGAGACTGTGCACCTTTGTCACGGCACCAGGGGATCCCAAACTGCAGCGCTGCTGACCTCAAACTCAGCACATGATGGGGCGATGCTGGGGGTGGAACTCACAGACAGCCTCGTGCTGGCCAGCTAGAAACTTTGCCGCTCAGCTGCCCCCTTACCCCACCCCACCCCCAACCCTTCGATGTTTTAATCCACATAAGTGCTTTGCACTCTCCAGCCAGAGCTTACCATCTTCTCGCTCTCCTGACACCCCCAGATGTCCTGTCCCTCCCAGTTGCACATCCACAAGCTAGAAACCTGAGCATCACCCTTAATCCCTTTGTTTCGGGTCACTAGGGTCCAAAACGCTTTCTTTAAATGTCATTTCAAGTCCCCATGCCCCTCTGCTCTCCACTCAAGTCCTGTGTCCCGTGGAGCAGTTTCATTCCACATGGTCCTTTGCTAACCCTGCCCTGGCTGGGGGCCCCTTTGTCCCACAGTCTCTTGCAGGCTCCTCATCACCTACCCTGCCCCCGGTACCCCCCCAACGCCCCCCACAGCACCCCCCAGTGACTCCCCAGGGCCCCACACAGGCCCTATAGTCTCCCTGTGGACCCCCACAGACCCCACAGCATGCCCTTCCCTCTCTCACCCAGGGATCAGCAACTGTCCTCCCCGACATAACCTTCTCCCTCTGTCCCCACAGTCCTCCACCAAAGGCCTGCGGACCACCATCGGCGAGGCCTTCGAGCGGCTGCACCGGCTGCTGCGGGAGCGGCAGAAGGCCATGCTGGAGGAGCTGGAGGCGGACACGGCCCGCACGCTGACCGACATCGAGCAGAAGGTGCAGCGCTACAGCCAGCAGCTGCGCAAGGTGCAGGAGGGCGCGCAGATCCTGCAGGAGCGGCTGGCCGAGACCGACCGACACTCCTTCCTGGCCGGGGTAGCCTCGCTGTCCGAGCGGTACGTGCCCACCCGCCAGCGAGGGCCAGCCCCAGATGGGCACCCATCCCTAGTCACGCAGGGGTGAGAATGAAGGCAGATGGGGTGGTTAGTGGAGAATCACGAACATCTTGGTTAACAAATATATACGGGGACCAGAGAGACAGTACAAGGGTTAAGGCACTTGCCTTGCACCAGCCAACCCAGGTTCAATCCCTGGCACCCCATGTGGTCCCCCAAGTCCTACCAAGAGTGAACCCTGAGAACAGAGCCAGGAGTAAACTCTGAGCATCGCTGACTGTTGCCCTAAAATAAAAAAGTGTATAAGATGACTGTGCCTGGGGCCTGGAGTGACAGCACAGCAGGTAGGGCGTTTGCCTTGCACGCGGCTGACCCAGGTTCAATTCCCAGCATCCCATATGGTCTACCGAGCACCGCCAGGAGTAATTCCTGAGTGCATGAGCCAGGAGTAACCCCTGTGCATCACTGGGTGTGACCCCAAAAAAGCAAAAAAGTAGAAAAAGAAAAAAAGATGGCCGTGCCTGTAAGCCGCACTGTAAAGTGAGTAAAGGATTACTGCCCCTTTTTGATTACCTGGAAGAGTTTGCATAATGATCAGTTCTCAGGCCGGGTTGAATGGTGAGTGCCTGGACCAGAGAGTCACCTTTAATTATAACAACCCCCAGTCGCTGTGTGTTGAGGCTCAGTACTGAGCACTGGTGGCGGGTGTCCAGGGTGTCTTGTGCTGACCGAGCACTCAGCACCAGGCCCGGGAGGTGCTTCCCAGTGGCCCAGAAGGCAGCTCATCTGTGGAGACCACCCAGTCACAGCAAGAAAGGGGTGAATGGCACAGCCAGCCTTGAGCCTGGGCCTGGTAGGCTTCAGGCTTCACATGTGAGCCTTCCCCAGTCAGCTGCCCCAACGATGCTGCGGGGGGGGGGGGGGGGCGGGCATGTAGACCCCATGCCACACAACCATGTGTTCTCTCTCCCCCTCTCCAGGTTGAAGGGGAAAGTCCACGAGACCAACCTAACCTATGAAGACTTCCCCACATCCAAGTACACAGGCCCCCTGCAGTACACCATCTGGAAGTCTCTGTTCCAGGACATCCATCCAGGTAAGGCCCTGCCTGCCACTCCCACCGCCAGAGCAGAGCTCCTCGGGCACACCCCAGCCCTGCCGCCCTCTCGGGACACAGCACCAGGCTGTGCCCTTGAGTGCTCCAGGTCCAAGGTCCACGCACACAGCTTGGTGAGTAGCCCAGCCTCCAGATAAAGCATCTGAGGTCCTGGGCAGTGCATTCAGCAATGCCCCATACCCCCTGGAGGCAGACCCACCCCCGGGGAGATGCAGTACCTGCAGAAGAGGGGCAGATGGAGCAATGGCGGACACCCCAGCCTCCTGCCAAGGACAGAGGCCCCAGGGGAGGTGGGGCAGAGTGACCTGGTTAGCCGGGCCCCTTCCTTTGTCTGTGGGGCCTGTGAAGTGAGGCGGGCTTTTCTGCCAGGACAGGGGCCTCTGTGTCTGGATGGGAGGGGCAGGGCCCCCAGAGACCCAGCCTGTGGATTCCAGCAGCTTCCTGCCACTCCCCTGTTAGCATGGGCTTTCTAGTGGGTCACCTGAGATCCCCTAGCAACTGCTACTCCCCTGTACAGGTCCCCTACTCTCCACCCCTCCCCAGCCCCGGCTCTCAGCTGACACAGGAAACCCATTTCCAGATGCCTGGTCTGATGCCCCAACTCCAGCCAGGTGGCCCATAGTACCGGGGACACCAGTCTCTGCTCCCCTCACTCTGACCACATCCTTCCCCCCTGCTCATCTGGGTCCAGATGCCTGGGGTTCCAGCAGACCCACTGCCTTGCTGTGTGGTGCAGGGCTAGTGTCTACACTCTCTGATCCATCTCTGAACTGGGGACAGATGCACTTACCTCCCACGGCAGGCATGAAAATTAAATCATGTGGTTTCTTTGTGGTAATAATCCTGACACTGAGCAATGTTGATGCCTGTTTGCTGTTATTGTTGTATAAAAAAAAATCCCACAGCTCCTCAGTTTAGCTGAATAGGCTTTCTGGGACCACAGGTGAATGTGGACTGGAACTTGAACCCAGGCCCCACTACATCCAAGTAGTAGCTACCAGGTGGGGCCAAGGTGCTTTCTTTGCACACAGCTGAACTGGGTTCAATCCCTGGCATCCCTTATGGTTCCTCCGAGCCCACCAAGAGCAATCCCTGAGGGCCTAGAGCAATACCACAGCAGGTAGGGCATTTGCCTTGCACGTGGCCAACCCGGGTTCAATTCCCAGCATCCCATATGGTCCCCTCAAGCACCACCAGGAGTGATTCCTGAGTGCAGGGCCAGGAGTAACCTGAGCATCGCCGGGTGTGACCCAAAAAGCAAAAAAGAGAAAAAGAGTGATCCCTGAGCACAGAGCCAGGAGTAAGCCCTGTACACCACTGGATATGGCCCAGAAAGCAAAACAAAACAAAAAGAAGCTACCAGAAGAGCGAGACCCTTAGGCGAAGGCAAAGTAAGTTTATTAAAGGAGCAGGCACCAGTCAGTCTGACACAGGACTTCAGGGAGAGAGAAGACCTGTCCAGCCTTCTTGGGGAAGGTCTCCACTGTGTGTCCCTGGGCTGCTTTGGCAGGAAGTTCCTGCTCTCTTTAGTTTATACTGGGAAGCGGGTGAGCAGGAGAAGTGTTGCCAAGCCAGGGAAAGGAGTGAGGTGTATGTAAAACGTTCTGTCACAGGAAAGGAGTATGAGGTACGTAAAATAATTTGAGCCTAATCCAGAAAGAAAGTGGCCGGGCCAACTAGGAGCCGAGCATCAGTGGGTCCGCAAGTCTCCTGGGCCCGGCTGATGGCATGAGCAGGACGGTCCAGCCTCTCGCGTGTTCTATATGTAGGAGTTAAGCTGGGTGCTTCGTTAGTCACCCACTTCAGCAGAGAGGAAAGACCATGGTGTGAAAAGACCCTACCTCAGGTTCCCATTCTACCGCCATCCCACGTGGCAACTTGAGCAGATACCTCACACGGAGAAGGTGCCTTGAAGACTTGTTTTTCTCTTCCGAAAAGCAGGTGCCAGGGCCAGAGAGACAGTACAACAGGAAAGGTGCTTGCCTTGCGTGTGGGCAACCCAGGTTCGATCCTCGGCACCCCATACGGTCCCCTGAGCCCAGCCAGGAGTGATCTGTGAGCACAGAGCCAGGAGTAAGCACTGAGCACTGCCAGGTGTGAACCAAAAACCAAGAAAAGAAGAAAAGAAAAATGGGGATGGTGGTGTGTGCTCCCAAGGCTGCAGTGACATACCCACCAACTGGGCAGCAGAGCAGGAGGAAGCAGGAGGACTTAACCCACATTGTTTAAAGGTCTGTCCAGTGGGCAGAGCAGTACTACCCACCATTATATCGAGCTCAAAGCCTCTTCCTCAGGAACAGCAGCCCACGCTGCTAAGTGATGGCGCTGAGCTCGGGGGTATCTCTGTGGCTCAGCTTAGCCACAGTGATGTGCCATGGCCACCAAGGCAGTCTTGTGCCAACTAAGGGACATGACCACAGCTCGAGAAACAGCTTAACTGGCAAAAGGCAGTGGGGTTAGAAGATGAACTATCTTGTCTGCATGATCACATGGTTTACCTAGGAAAACAAAATCAATTTTTCAGGAAGGGAAGATTTTACAGACGGGTGGGCACCTGTGCAGTCAGCGACTTCCGTGGCCAGCGGCCTTGGAGGCATGTTGCACTGTCTGCCAGACGACACAAAGGCTCTGGCTAAGGAGTTAGTGAGCGTTGTTATCTCAGCTTGCTTGTGGGGGGAGGACAAGATCAGGAAACATTTTCTACAGTCTAACAGTTCCTGCCCCGAGGGCTGCTTTCCTAGGGTTTTTGGTGTGGAACTCAGCTGTCTGCTTCTTTGAGACCGGTTTCCCTTGGGCCTCTGTGGAGCGTGGCTGATGATGGTCAGGAGACATTTCCTGGGGCGCCATCAGCTTCTCTTGACTTGGAGGTTTTGTAGATGCTTAAATGGAGCAAAGATTTTTGCTCGTTTTCCCGGCACTCCTGGAGGTGCTCAGGGGCTATTCTTTTTTTTTTTTTTTAATTTTTTCCCTTTATTTTAATTTTTTTTTTTTACAGTTGTAGATTTACAATTCTTTGTGCTTGGGTTTCGATTATACAATGATCAGATACCCATCCCTCCACCAGTGCCCATTTTCCACCACCGTGGATAATATCCCCCCACCCCCATCCCCCCATCCCCCCTGTCTCTGTGGCAGGGCAATCCTCAGGGGCTATTCTTGGTTCTCTAGGGGAATCACTCCAGCTGGTGCTTCGGAGTCGCTCTTGGCAGAGTTCAGGGGACCATGAGGTGCAGGGGGCTGAATTCAGGCCTCTGCACACAAGGCTTGTGGTCAGCCTGTTGAGCTCTCTCTGACCCTGGCTTTATGTTCTTACAAAATCGTGTCTAAGACCTAGGAAAGAAGCTGTAAAATAGCGCACCTAGGGTCTGAGAACAAGAGAGGAGGTGGAAGGATAAGCAGTCAGTACACCGGCACCGACTTTTCAGAGGAAAGATGTTGGCCATCCACGCGGCTGCGCTGAGGGCTGTAACCCCCATCAAATCTCACAGGTGGGGAGCCAGAAGGACCTCTGCTTAGGAGGCAGGATGGGAGGCAGGCGCCAGGATGACCTTTTGGGATGTAAACACGTAAGTCTGGTTATGCCAGCTAACCAGAAAAGAAACAAGGCCACGCCTTTGGCCCTGCCTCCAGGGCAGCACCACCTATGAGCAGCAGGCAATGACCTGGTTCACCCAATAAGAACCTGACCCTCGTCCAGTCCCTGGAGCTAGTCGTAGAGCCTGGAAGCAATCCAGAGTGCCACTCGTGGCATTCAGGAATTCCTGTGGGCCTGATGAGCCTGTGGTACCGGAAGTGAGCGTCATTACCCGACGTGGGCTTAAGAATCAGGAGTTGAGCTCTCCTGCCCACATGCCGGCCCCTCCGCTGGGCCTGCTGCCCCCAGCCTGTTCTCTGGGCTCTCCTGTCACCTGGGCCAGGCTCCGCCGGAGGCATGGGAGCTGCTGCTGCTGACCGCCTCCGTAGTGTCCCTCTCAGCCCCGCCGCAGACTGTGAGGATGCCTTCCAGGTGAAGAGGCCCCATCTGTATCTGATTAGCCTCTGTCTTTCCCCGGCTCTCCCACGCACACCAACTGCACGCGGACCCTGCTCGCTGCAGGAGTCCCCACATTCCTGGGGATAGGAGGGTTGGCCTTTGACCCCCTGCTTCTCAAGGCCAGCAGGGTGGATGTTTACCCTGTGACTCAGTGACTTCTCTCTCATGGCCCAGCCTCTGCTAGGTCCCTGCACAGAGAATTGTGTTTCCAGTGACCCCTCGAGTCACAGGGCTAATTGTTTCCATGCAGCCCTCCGAGTTCTAAGAGCAGGAAGAGAGAGCTGGAAAACCCAACACAGTTTTGCTCTGTCGGATGTACGAGCAAAAGCAGTTCGGGCTCCTGCTCTCTGTGGGGTGGGTGGCCAGCACTGGAGCGTTTGATTCCTGAGCATGGATGTAGCCAGCGGAGGTGACAGCAGCAGGGACCAGTGTCCCGGCCAAGGATAATCTTGTCCCTGCTCCACCAGATAAGGAGCACGCCAGAGAGCAGAGGGGAGTGTTCCCGCACTTTGAGGATCCAGTAGCAGGATTTCTTCTCCCTTCCCTCCCTGCCCTCCCCTTCTGTTTGCCCTGGCCTGGGCATGGTCATCGAGGCCAAGGAGAGTCACGTTGAAGTCCCCCCATCTAGCAGGGCAACCAGCTCCCTCGGGGAGGAAGGCGTAAAGAGAGGCCTCCACAGGAGTTCCTGAGACTGGCGAGCCTGCTCAGCCAGTGTGACCAGCCCAGGTGCCCAGGGCTGTACGGCTGAGTGTTTGTTTAATTTGGGGAACCTTTCGGAGACCTTCCCAGTGCCAGGTCCCATGCGGGGGAAATCTCATTGTCTCAGACATGACCCTTGTCCTTCTGCCTCAGTGGGGTCAGGTGTGTACAGAGAGGATTCTTCCTAGGGTTGAGGGAGGGTGAGCACCCCATGGGGCAGCCGAGAAACTTCTCAGAGAATGGGCCCTGGGGTGGGGGTAGGGTGCCTTCCAGAAGCAGAGGATCCAGCAGTCTGAGCAGAGGTTTCCGGCCTGAGTGTGTGTGTGGGGGCGTGGGGGGGGGGGGGGCAGTGAATCGGAAGTGGGGCGGGAGGCTGGACTGTAGCCCCCTCTCCTCCGTGGGCCAGTTTCCTTGTCTCTCTGATGAAAGCCCGTGTTAGCCACTTTCCGCTTTTGCCTCCCATCTTGGGTTTCATTTTGGAGCCTGGGCCATGCTCGAAGGTCAGCTGACTGTTCACAGTTTCAGGGTTGCATGTGAATCTAGACCCCACATGTGTACGGATTTGACGGTCATGCCAAGGCAGTGACAGATAATGAAATACCGGGCATGTCGGCCCAGCCCGGAGGTGTCCACTCATTACGTGAAAGACACGCTGCCTGGCCGGCCAGGTTCTGCCCTGGGTCACAGCCCCAGGCAGTGTGGGCAGAGCAGCCACAACATTCTTCCTGGAGATCAAAAGGGAGCAGTTATAGTGACAGATCCAACCAGGCAGACTCACAGGTTCTCTCTTGACACAGTCCTGTCCTGGCCTCCCAGACAACAGGGCGTGAGGTTGGTTATCCTGGCACACAGCCAACCCTGATCTCCCCCTGATGCTGCCTTGTGGTCCCCTGAGCACCACCAGGAGCAAGTCCTGAGCACAGCCACTTGTGGCTCCAAAAAATTTTTTTTTCTTTTTGGGTCACACCCAGCGATGCACAGGGGTTACTCCTGGTTCATGCACTCAGGAATTACTCCTAGCTGTGCTGAGGGGACCATATGGGATGCTGGGAATCAAACCCGGGTCGGGCCGCGTGCAAGGCAAACACTCTACTCGCTGTGCTATCACTCCAGCCCCTGTGGCTCCAAAAATTAAAAAAAAGGAAAAGAAATTAAAAAAGAAATGCCTTCTACATGGTACCATGTTGCTACATAAAGCAGAGTCAAGTTATCATTTTGAATCACTGGAAAGAATTTCTGTTGGCAAGCATGTCTGGTAGGGCGCTGGAAACTGAGGGATGGTGTTGGGTTGGCTACCCTGTCGTTCTCCTGGGTCCCATCTAGTGAGTCAGCTCAGTGCACAAGACCCAGAGCTCCTGCTCCCCTACAATCCGGCTGAACTCTGGGAGGACCCCAGCTGTCACCCTTCCATTACACAGAAGAGGAAGCTGAGGTCCAGAAAGGTCAAGCTGGTTTTCAGGAGTCACAAAGCCCACAGGGGAACCCCTGCCCCTAAAATTCAGCTCTCATGGAGACCTGGCAGAGTGGGTTCCTGGGCCTTCTCCCCACTCACCCTCTCCCCCTGCCCCCGACAGTACCCGCTGCCCTGACCCTGGACCCGGGCACTGCCCACCAGCGCCTGATCCTGTCCGATGACTGCACCATCGTGGCCTATGGGAACTTGCACCCACAGCCGCTGCAGGACTCGCCCAAACGCTTCGATGTGGAGGTGTCGGTGCTGGGCTCCGAGGCCTTCAGCAGCGGCGTCCACTACTGGGAGGTGGTGGTGGCCGAGAAGACCCAGTGGGTGATCGGGTTGGCCCACGAGGCCGCCAGCCGCAAGGGCAGCATCCAGATCCAGCCGAGCCGCGGCTTCTACTGCATCGTCATGCATGATGGCAACCAGTACAGTGCCTGCACTGAGCCCTGGACGCGGCTCAACGTCCGCGACAAGCTGGACAAGGTGGGCGTCTTCCTGGACTATGACCAGGGCCTGCTCATCTTCTACAACGCCGACGACATGTCCTGGCTCTACACCTTCCGCGAGAAGTTCCCCGGCAAGCTGTGCTCCTACTTCAGCCCCGGGCAGAGTCACGCCAACGGCAAGAACGTGCAGCCCCTGCGGATCAACACCGTCCGCATCTAGAGGCCAAGGGCCAGGACCACGCGGGAGCCCGCAGGGCTTCCCCAAGACCGCAGGCCAGCGGGTTCCCTGGCGGTCCCCGGGTCCCCGTCTGTGGAACGAAAGCTGGGCTCCGGGATAGCTCGCTCTTCCGGTGCTAATGTGCTGTAGCCCCGACCTTGCAGGGGACGCAGCTGTGGTGTAAGGGTGCCGCCTGCCTCTCCTCTCTCCCCTCCTGTCCAGGGCAGAGCTCTGCCTCCTGGTCTCTCCCTCCTCCCCAGATGCCCTGGCTCAGAAAGTACTGAGTGTTGCCAGCCGTGATGCACAGGACCCCTTCGGCTCCCAGGCTCCAGACTGGCCCCCAACCACGCTAGTGACAGGCTGTTTTGCCCTGCTTCCAGCACACAACGGACCCAGATCCTAGCTGGTCCTGGCTTGTCCCAGACCCACCCTAGAGCTCTGGGGTCCTGCTTGCCCCACTGCTCTGCAAAAAATAGAGGTGACCTGAGACCTCGTGGAGGTGTCCCGGTCGCCGAGCACATTCCTATCACCATGCCTCCACCTTCCTGCCCACAGGTCTGTGCGCCCAGTGACGCAGAGCCCAAGAACCCAAAGGTAGTAGTAGCAGGAATAGGATTCAGATGCTCGGGTCTCGTTGCTGAGGGGAGCAGGGGCAGTTGGGGCCTGAGCCCTGGGCCCCGCATCAGCCTCAGAGTCATCCTCTCTGAAGATCCTGTTGCAGGGCACAGACGCTGCTTGAACTTGTCTAGTGGAAAAGGACTTAGCAGAGCAGCCCTGAGAAGCTCCCGGACTCAGCATGCCTCTGCAGACAGACAGTTCCAGCACATGGACCTCCTAGCTAGGCCTGCCTCTCTCACCTCAGTTCAACCCCCCACTCCGATCTCTAGCCCAGGGATTTTATTCAGGGTAACTTCACTCCTATCCAGAGCTTTGGCTGCAACGGGGCCTGGGAAATGTAGTTTTCTTCTTCCCGGCCTCCACCCTCCAAACAGGCGCATTAGAAGGAAGTTAGAGCAAGAAGCTTGTCGTGCTGGAGTCCCGGCTCTCGCCACGGCCTTGGAGCAGCAGCAGAGCCTCCAAGGGACGTGTGAGGGGCCTCGGCCCCTGCCCAGCCCCTGAGTATTAGCTGAATCGGCAGCAGCTGACAGGACTCCCCAGCTGTGTCTCTCCTCTCTGGTCCCAAGCCCAGATTCTGAACTGGGAGAGCAAGGTAGGGGGCTCACCACACCCACCCCAGCAGAGACAGACCCACAGAACCTAGGGGCATGGGTGGGTTCCCCAGGGTCATCCTCTACCTTTCAGCTACCAGAATCTGGGCACCCCACCCCACCCTGAAGCAGTATTTTTTATTTTAAGTGTTGCCCACTTCTGTGAATTTTGAATTTGTATAAAGTTGCGAGATGTTCTGTCCCTGTTGACAAGCATGAACGCCTGTCTCTCTTGTCTTCTGCGTGTCTGTATGGGAGCAGTCCTGTTAGGTTGTCCCTCTTGTGCCCATTTCACAGAGGAGGGAAAATGAGATCCAAGAGAAGGGATGACTTGCCCACTGGCCCATGGCCTACACTGGTAAATGAATGGGTCGAGATCATACTGGAGTTAAAAACCAGCACTCATCACAACCCAGAAACACAGCCAGTCTTTGCCTGAGGGAAAGGGTGTGGGTACCCTAAGACTAGATGGAGGTTCATAGGAATAATGAGACTTGGACCCTGAGAGATGCGCAGCAGGTAAGGTTCTTGCCTTGCACACTGCTGACCCTGGTTCCATCCCCAGCACCCTGGCACCCTTTATGGTACCCTGAGGCCCTCCAAGAGTGATCCCTGAGCACAGAGCCAGGAGTAAACCCTGAGTACAGCGAGGTGTGACCAGAAAACAATAAAATCAAGAGCCCCATCTCTGAACCCCATACACATGAGCATGAATCCAAAGCCACTGTGAACTTCAGAGGAGCGACTTCACCTCTGTTTCTGTTTCCTCACCTGGAAATAGGGGTAATAAGCAAGGCCCTGCCTCCCAGTTGGCAGCTGAAACTGGGTGTGTGGGAGTGTGGTCTGAATCTCTGAGCTGGCTCAGAACCTGAGGCATCCACCTTCCCCCTCATGCCTTGTGAGGAGTTTGGGAGCCCATTGGCCTGGAAGCCGTGGGGCCTGCTGTGTAGACATACATGCCCAGATGTGCTCCCCCACTCCCCCATCCCCACATACACATACTGCTGCGCCTCCGTAAGTCGGAGTCCCCAGGGGCCTGCTGTGAAGAGCCGGCAACTGGCCCACCCTAGCCTGCTCGCTCTTCCGTGAGACACCCTAGTCCCCGCAGCCCTGCCTCAGTAGTTGAGGGACGAGAGGGGGACTGCCCAGTCACTGGCTGGTCTGAGGTTCTAGGGAGAAGAGGGTCATGGGCAAAGACTTCAAGGAACTATTGTTGGGAAGAGGGAGAACATCCCAGTCACGGAGAACTTGGGGAATATTTGATTTTTTGTTGTTTTGGGGGCCACACCCGGTGATACTCAGGGCTTGCTCCTGGCTCTGCACTCAGGAATCACTCCTGGCAGTGCTCAGGGGGCCATATGGGATGCCCGGGATGGAACCCGGGCCAACCATATGCAAACCAGCACCTTCCCCACTGTTCTCTATCTCCAGCCTCATTAGGTGGGGTTTGAAATTGAGTCTCCCCCAGCCCACCCCTCATTTTCCTCTGCCTCACATCTCTGAGGGTCCCCCAAAACACGCTCCGTGGATCTGTCCTTGCTCATCTCCCTCTGGGGCACAGGGACCCCCTCCTTGATCCATCCTGCCCTTTTCCCCTCCCCCTCAGCTCCAGGTCCCACAAACGCTGGCCCCGTCCCAGCATCCACTTCGAGTATCTGGTGTGATTATAGGGATTAACCTGCATGCAGATCTGGAAATTCTAGGAAAGTGGGGCTCCTCCGGCCTTAGAGAACTCTCTCCCCTCCACCCCTTGTCGGTGTTGCAGTGACCAGTGCTCACGCACCCTTAGCTGTGGTCTCTCACACTCTAGGGTGGCACCAGATGGCAGTGCCCTGGAAATCAGTTTTGGCATGCGGGGCAGTGCTAAGCCTCAGGGAATTTCTGAGCTAAAGAATCTGAAGTGGGAGGCTGATAGCAGACACCCCACACTGACATGGGCGAGTGAAGTGGGGACAAAGGTAGCCAGCCTCAGAGAGAGAGTCCACAGACGCCAGTCACCTGATTCGCAGTGGCCATTGCTGGCTCACAGATGCTGTTCTGCTCCACAATCACAGAGTGAGCCTGTGGACTGGTCTCCTTAGCCCCATGTTTGAGAGCCAAGATGCTGCTTCTCAGGGGACCCACAGCCAGGACTCCAAAGTGCTGCAAACCAGACCCAGGGCCATCCAGAGTGCACGCGCGCGCACACACACACACACACACACACACACACACACACACGCACGCGCACACATGCGCACGCATGCATGCACACACACACATGTACGCATGCACACAACAGACAGACAGACACACAGAGAAAATGCGTTTCTACTTCCTGGACCACTTTAGAGACAGGGTGAAGAGTGACCGGTATTCAGAGTGTGCCCAACTTCCTGCCAGGGTGCACTTGGCAAGTGGCGCCTCCTTCATCTCGTGAAGGCACTTCGTACCCACCCTCATACCCCCTCTCCTGCAAGCAGGTCCCTCTCCCCCACTCTGCACCTCCTTATCCCACCTGAGAGCTGGGTGAGTCTGTCTGAGGGGGCAGGGATGGGCCCCTGAGGCCTCTAACCAGAACATTAGCTCTGATCCTCCCCAGGGAGGCAACGCCAGCAGAAAACAACAGCGATAAGGTTTCTTGGTAGCACGGGGCTGTCTCAGGGGATCCGGGGACCAGCCTCCCCTGCTCTAGAGACGTCATCCCCATCCCGGGAGCTGACTGCTCATGCCAGGGCAGCCTCAGGGTGCCCCCTGCCTGGGCGAGGGGCAGCGCTTTCATCTCCCCAGTACAGCCCCCAGGGGCAGAGGCAAAGGGTGTGTTCTAGGCTTCCAGGAAGGGAGCTGTGGGGAGAGGCGTGGGGGGTCTGGGAGGGGTGCGGTACAGGCCAGAGTGAAGACTCATCTTTCTCACCAGACATGTGTTTTTACTCCTTGCTCTGACCCCCGTGATTCCACCCACGGCCCCCGGGATTCTGAACCCCATAAGGAAACTGGTGGAGGAGGGGGGCGGCTTGTGTTTCGAAACACACTCATTGTTTTGTGTTTTTCTATCTAAATGAAATTATGTCTGTTTTTAAACCAGAGATACAGCTGGGTCTTCTACCTCCTCGCAGAATGTTGATGACTCTGCAGTAGTGCCCAAGTGCCCACAAAAATGCCCATACTTGCTCCAGGAATGTAATGGAGACTGAGGCGCTGGGCCCGAGTAGGAACTTCCTACCCTTGCCATGGCACGAGGGTGAGAGGTACCAGACCTGGGGTCTAATGAATCCCCGGAAACTGCAGGCCTGGCCTGATAGTCTGGAAGCTGGCGGGGCCTGGGGCAGCTGCTGCCGATCCTGAGGTCCAGAGAGCATCGTTTCTAGCCAGGCCCACGCCGTGACAGTCAGCATCTCTCCGGGCCAGTCAGCGTGCAGGGGGTCACAGGGGATGAGGATGGGACCCAAGAGGGGCCCAGCCAGGCCAGAGACGATGCCCAGAGGGTGGATGTGTATGAGGGGGCAGGGGCAGGCTGAGGAGAGAGAGAGCGCGCTGAGGATAAGGCTACCCTGCCCAAGGCCGGCTGGGGTACAGGGACACAGCTCCCAGGAGAGGGGACAGATGAGAAGCTGGGGTCGTAGTCAAGAAGCAACCCCTGGCGTGGAGGCAGTCTGGGTCACATGGTGGCCCGTGCATGGACTCCCGGACAGCTCATCACAGACCCCCGCCCCCAAATCAGCCTTGTCCTGTACCCAGAAGAACAGGGAGACTCAGGGAGGGCCAGACCGAGACCCAGACCTCCTGACTCCCCGCCAGCTGCTCTGAACCTCTAATCGCCCCACTGTAGATTCGCCCTCCTCCTCCCCACACCTGGGGACCGGAGCCCAGGGGAGAAGGCGTGGTCAGGCCCCCACAGCCTCCGCAGGAGAGGAGGCGGGAGCTGGGCCCCTCCTCACCCACCTCCCACACTGCCACGGGTCAGAGCTGTGGCAGGGCCACGTGTGACGCAGCACAGGGGACCTGGGAGTGGTCGGTAAGTGCGGGCAGGGAGCCCGGTCCACTGGGCCCCTGGGCCCCGACTGAGAGGGGCCTTGGCCCACGGGCAATGTGGGACTGGGGAATCTTTCGCCCAGAGAAGGAACAGCCGGCGGAGTCCCCTGCTTCCCAGCAGACTGGGCCTGGGCCGCAAAGCCCCTTCCTGAGACGTTCTTCAATAATTCTGACCCCCTCTTATTGCAACCAGATTTGTCACTCTTAAAGCAGACCGGGAGCCGTTCACAGTGTTTGTCATTTCCTACACATCAGCTTAGCATAAGGGACGATGGACTGCAGGGAGCCTTGGAAGCCTGCTCTTCCACGGGGAGGGTTCCGTGGTGGGTCCGGGCAGTCTCACCTGCCCCTGCCTTTTAGGAAAGGAGGCCCCGGGAGACCCTGAGCACCTGCCGCCTGCACCCCACTGATGGGCACGCAGCTTCCCTGCAATTTCTCTGCCGGGCACCGCCGCCGTAAGTAGCTGCCCTTCCTGGCATCAGAGCGCCAGAGCAGCAAAGCAGAAGGAGCACAGGAGCCTCTGGACAGGGCCCCAGCCTGGGGAAGGGACGGACGGGGTGGGAGGTGGAGCAAAGCCCCTTGGAAACGCGGGTTCCCAAAGCAAATATCCAACTCCCCAAGCCCAGCCCATGCTCGGCCGGGGACTTTACTAGTCAAATAGTGTGGGATAGAGCATGAATATTGGGCAAACCTTCCTCTGCTGAAGGTGTGTGTGTGGGGGAGGGGGGGGAGGGTGCTCTGGCTCCTCACCAGTTCACTGTGTGGTTCCAAAGGGCTTTCCGAGCTCTGGAATCTAAAACCTGTTCAGATCCATGACTTTGAATGTGCTTCCTCTGTCCTCTCAAAGTCCCTGGCACTGACGACCTGTCCCTCTACACTGTGAAGCACTATGCATGCCATAGCTCTCCTCTCTCTCGTCTAATCCTCACGTTGGCCTGAGAGGACCATTTCCACCCCGCTTAGCCATGCCCGCCTAGCAAGAGCAGAGCTCTGTGTTCCAGAACAATGGATAGGAGGGTGGAGCACACATGTGGGATACAGGGCTGAGGGAGGAGAGGACAGGGGAGGAGAGGGGAGGGGAGAGAAGAGGAGGGGAGGGAAGAAGAGGAGGCGGGAAGGAGGGGAAAGGGGGGAGGAGAAGGGAGGGGAGGAGAGGAGAGGAGAGGAGAGGAGAGGAGAGGA